TTCGATCAAACGATATTGCAGGTACAATCTCTATTTATCTCCTCTGATTCTTCTCTTCATGGATTTGGGTTTGAGATCTTGAAAGATGGATTTGACGATTGAATCTCCTTCGGGCATGGCCTTGAATTTCTCTAACATTAATTTGGGGGTCGAATGACTTATTCCCGTATTAAATGTTAGGCCTTGGCTTGATTGAAGAAGATTTCTTGGAGGACTTGATTCTTTGATCTTTTTGAAAGACGAATTTTGACTTGAATACTGTTGTTCGAGGGCTTGATGGCTTTTTCTCGGATCAAACGCTATGTTGGTTTAACTTCTCAACGAATGCGACTTGAATGTCGCTTGAACGTCATTGATTTTCTTGAATTGATTTGAGAAGAGTGGAGGTCGTCTCTTTACTTCTTGGGGAAGAGCTGCCGCCTATTTTTTTTCTTGTTGGCCTTCTTCTTCATTAAACAGACTTCAGGCGGTTCTTCAAGAACTTCTTCAAATCTTCAAAAGGGTTCTTGAGAGCGCTTGAGTTTGAGACTTTAATCTTTGAGATGTGTTTCATATTTTTTTTAGGTGTTTGAGGTGTGATTTGTGGGATTGAGGAGAACCTTATTTATAGGTGTAGGAGAGAAAGTCTTGGAAAAGAAGACATCAATTTGATTGGTCCTTCTTGAATTTATATAATCTCTTTCCTTATCTTAAGATTTTAGATAATCTCTTTCCTTATCCTAAGATTTGACTTGGTGGGCAAGAAACAATTACTTTATTAATTAAATATCTTATTTATCTTGGATTTATGTTTAAAAAATAAATAAAGACATTAATTAATAAAATATTAAAATTTCGATGTCTACACTCTCAATTAAAAAAGTTAAAAATTTAGACCTCATTATTACACAACTAGTGCGTATCCCGTGCGATGCACGGATATATAAATTTGGAGAATATTATAAGTTGACATGCATTAAGATATATGAGAGTTTAATACATACGAACCTTATTCATCATAAAATGTTCGTCACTAAAAAATCTTATATTATTAAAAACCTCTTTGTATACAACATATGAGTTTGATTATTGTTTAACTCATTGTGAGGAGCACAGACCGACTCCGGCCTGACGCGGCTTGCACAAAGGGCTGCGGAAATTGGACCTCACTCAACTGGGCTCCCTTGTTGGGCTTCTATCTTGGGCTGCAGATGCTGATTGTTGTCGCCAGAAAAATTACCCCAACGCTTGGACAATTTTTCTAATTTCCAACTATATTATAAATTATATTTTATTCTAAGTTTAACTTTTTCATTCCTATTTTATGAAGATAGTTATTGTACATTTCTAGCTATACTAATAAAGTATATTTTAGTTTGAATCATGTAACTTCCTTAGTAATGAGTTGAATAATTTATAGATAGAAACATAATTTAATGATTCCCTCTAATTTCTCTCACTCTCCCTTTTTTCATATTTCATAGTATTTCACAATTTTCTTCAAATAAAACAAAATATTACATACAACAATTATCAGGTTGACCATCAAATAAATCAAAATAAGATGTAAATAAATGTAAAATTTTCCTTAATAAGTTCTATATTGTTCTGAAAATAATAATTGCAATTTCAGGTTCGACACAAAATTGGTTTGTTTATTTTTTATTAATTTTTTTATGAATAGGCTATCTATCTTAATTTTTGTTCAAAGTTGGTTTATTTTTTATTTTTATCATCAGATGTATCATGTTAGTCATCATTGGACATAAGCTCATAGGATTTGATGATAAATATGCATTTAGATTTTAACTTGTGCAATATAAATGTAAAAAATATAGAGAATATAATAACGCTAAATTTAGTTTATTGGACATGTGCACAACAATGAGAAAAATGTGATTTTCTAAATTAAATTTTCAGGATAAATGCATTGCGAAATCATAAATTTTACGATAATGCAAGCATAATTTGGGTAAAACTGAATGGAAAACGTTTTTGCAAATTTGTAGATGAGAACGAATTTAGAAGAATCGTATTTATAAGAGTATGTACATTATTAAAATCTGAAAACAATAAAGAGTCCCAAGAGTTGAAAACCGTGTAATTAATATTTAATTAAACATATAAATTATCGATCTACATATCATAACTGATATGTTTAATTTTATAATACCATATAGGTTGGATTTGTTTCCAACCACTACATCT